TAACCGAACCGAACCGATGAATTATATACATATATTTTATTAATATACATACTTAATATATTATTTTTATAAACAATTTTAAAGATCTTATACATATTTTCATTAAAATTTCTTTATAATTTACTTATTGAAAGCAAAAATGCCCAAGATGAAACATTTATCTTATTGATTTCATGTATATGAGTGTCTATGTCAATTCTTTGTGGGACTGAAAATGTTATTGTCTCTTCCTTCTAGGCCAATATAGTGAATTTTAAAGCTTTATTGATAGTAAATTTAGTGATTGAAAGTTTAGTAATTTAAGTCATTCTGACTATTTTTCATTTTGAATGGATTGTTGTCACTTTTTTCACATTTTAAATGAATTGTTTCTTTTATTTTTGTGTATGGTTAATAACCGAACCAACCAAACCGAAACCAATAATCACCAAACCGATAAATGTATATTATATTTGGTTTGGTTTGGTTTTGATAATTTTAAAATCGATTAAGTTGATTTGGTTTTGATTTTGACCAATAACCGATCCAAACCAACCCGTGAACACGGCTACCGAACATATCCATAGAAGCTATATTTGTTAGTTTATCTCAGGGACCCTTCGTGCAATTTGTTCGATAGAAAGGCCCGTATCTAATGTAGTTACACGGCCCAACTTACTTGGGCCCAAAACAAATTGATAGTATTTAAGAGATTGTATCTTCATCTCCTTAGGGTTTAACACACACACCTCTCGCCGGCAGCTATTCAATCGGAAAACCGCCAAAATGGTTTGTTTTATCTCTCTGTTAATTCTTGCCAATGGTGTTTAGCTCATTGTTTGTTGTCTGACAGATCAGTTTGTATTGTAGTCTTCATCGATTTTGTTCTAGGTCTAGAATGTACTGTATCAGTTTTACCTTTGCTAATTGTTTGCTATATGCGTAATGCATCAACTACTATATTCGTGGTTGTTCCTTGTGATTCATTCCCTCAAATGTATGGTGTTGATCCCAAGTGGTGCTGGTTAATTTTAGGGCTCGTAAGTGGAAATAATCAATTGCATTAGTTACTGTCGCCACTCGCCACTAGATATCAGTAGGTCATTTTTTTGAATTGTATTTTGCAGTCACAACTTCGAATGTGATTTCTCTTACTCTTTGTTTGTGTTGTATTGTATCTTACTTAATTGTTTTAATGAGTACAACATTTTGGATAGATTATATTCCTCTACTACTATAGTCTATAGAGGTGTTTTAATTGATATAATAAAATTCTTAAATAATTTGTTAAGATAGAGATAGAAAATAAATAAATCAATCAGACCAAATTGGTGTTACACAAAATACTAACACCCTTCATACTTACCTAAGTATGTGTTTGCCCATGAAACGTTTCAACTTTTTCGGTAGTTGGTACTCTTGAATTCAACTTGAAGTTATTCCAAAATTTTCATGAATTTGATTAACAACAAAAATATGTTTTCACTACAAAATTCTCATGTAATGTCAAGTATCATTCTTTTTTACTTTGAAAAAAAAACTGCTACTTTTCTAATTTCAAAATGAAACATGGCCAAATGTCCTGATTTAAAGATCCAATAAAATAAAGTTTTAAGAAATAATCAAAACAGATATTGTATTTAACTACACAATATTATATGTAACAACAATCCAAAAAAGCTTATGCTTTTGACAATGAAATTTCTGTAGTATAGTTCACGTTGTTTACTCTATGAATTGAAAAATTGTTCTTTACCTATGTGAAAGAACACGCTTCTAGCTTTGTCTGACATGGATAGATTTTAATATAAAGCTGTGTAATAGCTCCCCTTCTATTTTTGGTAAATTGACTTTTGTTCTTTCAGCTTTCATTTATACGAGTGGTAAGATTTTTGCATTTAGGCTTTGTAAACATCATACGAAAGTGAATTTCGTAACTTCTTCTTTATGTATAGGCAAGAGGGTTGAAGAAACATTTGAAGAGGCTCAATGCGCCTAAGCATTGGATGCTTGATAAACTTGGAGGTGCTTTTGTAAGTGACATCTCTTTCCCTTTAAGTCTTTTTTTTTTTGAATAATACAACTTAGTTTCCTGCTTCTTGACTTTACTGTTCTCTTCCGTAGGCTCCCAAGCCTTCTTCTGGTCCACACAAATCAAGGGAATGTTTGCCATTGGTTATTATCCTCAGGAACAGGTTGAAATATGCTTTGACATACCGTGAGGTCATTTCAATCTTGATGCAACGCCAAGTTATGGTTGATGGGAAGGTTAGGACAGATAAGACTTACCCTGCTGGTTTCATGGGTATGAACACCTCCATTAGATTGTTTTTTCATTTCATAACCTTTAGATTATATTTTCCTTATTTCTGTACCGTCTAGGTTTTGTTCATTTCCAGACAAAAGTAATAATACTGATTCATCTATATACACATGCTTTCACATTTCTAAAGACAATTGTTGATCACTGTCTACAAATTTTTTCATTAAAAATCATTTTGTCTTGTCTCTTTTATTTCTTTTTTTCTTGTTGCTATGTGTGTTGAATCCCTTGACAAATTGGTAATTCTCATAGTTTCTTCATATAGATGTTGTTACGATTCCAAAGACGAATGAGAGCTTCCGACTTCTTTATGACACTAAGGGTCGGTTCCGTCTCCACTCACTCAGAGATGAGGAAGCCAAGGTTTGATTTTCATATTTTTGAATTTTTGTGTTGACGGAACTGAGTAGATAATTGTAAAATGTTTAGCTCATCTGATCCTGTTTCCTTTGGATGCTGTGCTGTTGGAGTAGTCACATTGTTTTCTGCTCTTTGCAGTTCAAACTTTGCAAGGTTCGATCTGTGCAGTTTGGACAGAAGGGAATCCCATATCTCAACACTTATGATGGAAGAACAATCCGCTACCCTGATCCCCTCATCAAGGCCAATGACACCATCAAGCTGGACTTAGATTCCAATAAGATTGTTGACTTCATCAAATTTGATGTTGGTAATGTGGTCATGGTTACTGGTGGTAGAAACAGGGGGCGTGTTGGAATTCTTAAGAATAGAGAGAAGCACAAGGGTAGCTTTGAGACAGTTCACATTCAGGATTCCCTGGGGCATGAGTTTGCTACCCGTTTGGGAAATGTGTTCACTCTTGGTAAAGGTAGTAAGCCATGGGTGTCTCTACCTAAGGGTAAAGGTATCAAGTTATCTATCATTGAAGAGGCTCGCAAGAGGATGGCTACTCAATCAGCTACAACTGCTTAAAAATGATAGGTTGAACTTGAGATGAATTTAATAGATTGGGCCATGTTTCTCTTTGTTTAGAGGGATGACATTCTTATTTTGTGTGTTGCATTTCAACATCTGTGTACTCGGTACTGATTTACTTGCCTTCTTTTGTCGGGAAAAAAGGTAGACTGAGTTGAGATCAATCAGTTGCCTTTTATGTGATAGTATTTTATTGCGACAGAGTTTAAGGACCTTGTCCATTAGTATATTCACTTATTTCAAAATGAGTTTTTGGTTGTAATATTTTCAAATCTAACCTGGAGTTGGATTCCAAATTTGGTTTAGTGCAGTAAACCTGATTCCTAGTTTCATTTTCATAAACTTCATATAAAGTGGGCTCTTTTGTCCAGCAAATAGTATAATCAAACATAACTGTCTAATTTGATAAATTTTCGGAATCTATTTCCAAATGATTTTTGATTTCGATGTAATTTTGTGTTCTTTTTGTTAATGAGTTATTTCACCAGAGTTAAAATGAGAAGTTTAGTTATAAATTATTTAGCATATCACTTAACTGAGTGAGTACAATCAAGTATTAATGACTCTTGATAATGGTTAACATAATCCATTATTTATTATTAACGGGAAGGGAAAGTGGAAATTGTGTGTTCTCACCAACAAGATGAAAGTTTTCCAGTCGAAGTTATTATATGCTTCTCTAGATGCAATTAGTTTTCTAGTGACAACTCTTTAAGGCAAAAGATCAACTAAAACTATTTAGTTCATAAATAGTGATTTTATTTCTGCTAATTTAAGTGTCCAAATCCATTTTATGTATAGGTGTTAAGATTGAATACAAAGTTTAAAGAAATTATCTCTGAAAATCGATGATATGAAAAGTTTGACATGTCTATTCATTTTCCTTTTTATATAAAAAAAAAACTTCAATGTCAAGTGGGTGCTTTGCAAATAGTTAGTACAACATAAATCGCAGTAAGTTATATTTGGCACAAAACGAACACTTAGTAGACATAAAAATGCACAACTTGGTACGCCTTAGTAGAAATAAACATGGTGTTTAACGAAAGAGCAAATAGAACCTAACGGTAAACTCTCACGTCAATTCCATCACAATAGTAAATTGTTGCCTGCATAACAAAATAGAATGTTATACTTGGTTTTCAAGCTAGAAATAAGGAGATGCATCCTATTAGGTGTATTTACTACCAAATTCAAAGTCTTATTACATAGCTTGAACATCATTATTTCAGATAAATATAGAGGCTATGTTTGTTGGGCCGCATAAACGAAGTTACTCAGCCCGTGTAATTTGTTGGATAAATAAGGCCCATATTCTGGGTGATTTAGACGGCCCAACATGCTTTAGGCCCAAAACAAATTGGGCGTATGAGGTATGTACTATAGTATTTAAGAGATTGTATCTTCATCTCGTTAGGGTTTAAGACACACACCTCTCGCCGGTAGCCGTCACTCGTGCCAGCTAATCAGTCGGAAAACCGCCAAAATGGTTTGTTTTCTCTCTCTGTTAATTCATCTCGTCAATGTTGTTTAGCTTATTGTGTGTTGCCTGATAGATCAGTTGTATTTTAATCTTCATGGCTTTTGTTCCAGGTCTAGACTGTACTGTATCAGTTATACCTTTGCTAATTGTTTGCTATTTGCGTAATGCATCTGAGATAATATTCTTGGATGTTCCTTTCGATTTATGCGCTCAAATGTATGTGTTGATCTCAAGTGCTGCTGGTTAATTTTAGGGCTCGTATGTGGAAATAATCAATTGCATTAGTTACTGTGGCCAATAGTGTATACAGTTTTTTCTAATTGTATTTTGCTGTCATTGTGATTGCTGTTGCACTCTGTGTTGTGCTGTATCCTACTGGATTGTTTCAATGAATACAACATTTCGATAGATTTTATGGTTCTACAGATAGAGCTACTTTAAAAAATTAATTTTAAGACAAAATAAGATTACTAAATAATTAGTAAAGACATAGTGAGTAAATAAATAAATCAGGCCAAATTGGTCGTTACACAAAGTGAAACCAATACCTAACTGTTGATTTAATGATAGCTTAGGATTTGGACAATGAAATTGTGTAGTATAGTTCAAGTTGTTTACTAGATGTATTGAAAAAACGTTCTTTACCTTTGTGAAAGAACATGTTTCTAGCGTTGTTTGACATGGATAAATATTAATAAAAAGCTGTGGAATAGCTCCCCTTTTTATTTTTGGTAAATTGACTTTTGTTCTTTCAGCTTTCATTTATATAAGTGGTAAGATTTTTGCATTTAGGCTTTGGAAACATTATACTAAAGTGAATTTCGTAACTTCTTCTCTATATATAGGCAAGAGGGTTGAAGAAACATTTGAAGAGGCTCAATGCGCCTAAGCATTGGATGCTTGATAAACTTGGAGGTGCTTTTGTAAGTGACGTGTCTTTCCCTTGGGTCTTTGTTTTAATAGAACTACTTAGTTTCCTGCTTCTTGACTTTACTGTTCTCTTTGGTCTCTACTGCAGGCTCCCAAGCCTTCTTCTGGTCCACATAAATCAAGGGAATGTTTGCCATTGGTTATTATCCTCAGGAACAGGTTGAAATATGCTTTGACATACCGTGAGGTCATTTCTATCTTGATGCAACGCCAAGTTATGGTTGATGGGAAAGTTAGGACAGATAAGACTTACCCTGCTGGTTTCATGGGTAAGAACACCTCCATTAGATTGTTTTTTCATTTCATAACCTTTAGATTATGTTTTCCTTATCTGTACTGTCTAGGTTTTGTTCATTTCCAGACGAAAGTAATACTCTACTGATTCATCTATATACACATGCTTTCACAGTTCCAAAGACAATTGTTGATCCAAGTGTCTACAAGTTTTTTCATTAAAAATCATTGTCTCATCTCTGTTATTTCATTTTTTCTTGTTTCTATGCTTGTTGAATCCCTTGACAAATTGGTAATGCTGTTATTTTCTTTGTGTAGATGTTGTTACTATTCCAAAGACAAATGAGAGTTTCCGACTTCTTTATGACACTAAGGGTCGGTTCCGTCTCCACTCACTCAGAGATGAGGAGGCCAAGGTTTGAACCTGTTTCCTGCTCCTTTATTCCGGTTTCCTTTGGATGCCGTGCTGTTTAAGTAGTGACCTTGTTTTCTGCTCTTTGCAGTTGAAACTTTGTAAGGTTCGATCAGTGCAGTTTGGACAGAAAGGGATCCCATATCTCAACACTTATGATGGAAGAACAATCCGCTACCCTGATCCCCTCATCAAGGCCAATGACACCATCAAGCTTGACTTAGATTCCAATAAGATTGTTGACTTCATCAAATTTGATGTTGGAAATGTGGTCATGGTTACTGGTGGTAGAAACAGGGGGCGTGTTGGAATTCTTAAGAACAGAGAGAAGCACAAGGGTAGCTTTGAGACAGTTCACATTCAGGATTCCCTGGGGCATGAGTTTGCTACCCGTTTGGGAAATGTGTTCACTCTTGGTAAAGGTAGTAAGCCATGGGTGTCTCTACCTAAGGGTAAAGGTATCAAGTTATCTATCATTGAAGAGGCTCGCAAGAGGATGGCTACTCAATCAGCTACAACTGCTTAAAAATGATGGGTTGAACTTGTGATAAATTTAACAGGTTGGGCCATGTTTCTCTTTGTTTAGAGATACCAATCTTATTCTGTATGTTGGATTTTAACATTTTTGTACTCGGTACCGTTTAACTTTGTTTTGTTGGGAAAAGAGGTTGACTGAGTTTAAGATCATTCATTTGCTTTTTATATGATAGTTTTTTGTTGGTCGCTTAGTTTAATTGCCTTGGCCATGAGATCATTCATTTATTTCAAAATGAGATTTTGGTTATAAAATTTTCAAATCCAACCTGGAGTTGGATTTCAAATTTTGTTTAGTGCTCTAAACATGTTTTCTTTCTCTGTTCTCATAAATTTTAAATAAATTGCTCTCTTTTCTCCCGAAAAAAAAGTATAATAAAGCACAATTGCATCTTCAATCACATCCACATCAAGAATGTGGAAGTTTTCCTACGTAAAAATTGTTAGTCTTCCGGTGATAATTTTTCAAGGCAAAAGATCACCTATAAATTCATTTAAACTTTATTTAGTTCGAACATGTAGTGATTTTATTTCTGCTACTGTAAGTATCCAAATCCATTTTATTTAAAGGTGATTTGATTGGATATACTTATCGTTGAAAATCGATGATATGATAAGTTTCACATGTCTTTTCGTTTTCTTTTGTTACAAAAAAAGAACTTTACTATCAACCAAAATGCTAAACGTTGTAGTAAGATTAATTTAGACACAATCCAGCACTTAGTAGACATAAACATGCATAACTAGGTACGCCTTTGTAGAAATAAACATGGTGTTCAACGAAAGAGTGAACAAAACCCAACACAGAAATTGGAGCATGCAATGTAACCTCTCAGGACAATTCCAACATTATAGTATATTGTTGCCTGCATAGCACAATAGAATGTTATAAAACAAAACAAGTATGTCAGTATCCATTTGAATACTCTAGTTAACAAGAGGAGTGTTGAGTTTTTTCTTGACAATTTGGCCATTGACTTCTGAAATGATTGAAACTTCCTTGACATGAGTGACTTTCCACTTATCTCTACTCTGCAATTTATGAGCGAAAAAGAGGGACATGCCCATAAGGGTGAGATCATCAAGGCTAGTAAGGTGATTGAAGCCATCTGGTAAGTTAGTTAGCCTTGGACAATTAGCTATCAGAAGAAACTGAATTTCTGGCATAGAACCCTTCTCAATAGGCATCCAAGTAGTCCAATTTTCCATGCCAAGAATCCTCAACAGTTTGAGCTTAGGAAATCCTCCCGGAGGGATGTTAACGATGCTGTTTACGTAAGCTGAAGATGCTAATGTCAGAATAGCTAGGCTTGGAAGCTTTCCAAGTATAGGAAATGGATCTTCTGTTAAGAAGTTCTTGAAAAGGTACAATGAGTGAAGGCAACTAAGAGAATCGAACCATCCTGGCAGTTTTTTCATATGGACTTGGAGTTTGAGTTTCTCTAAGTGCTTAGTGGACTTTGTGAGCGATTCCATTTGTATGTTTTGCTCAAATGGACTCTCACTTAACACTGTTAAGGACCTCAACTTGCTCATCCTTTCTAATGATTGGCAAAAATCTCCGCTGTTGGCTTGTGTCATTTTCCCTATGTAGACTTTCCTCAAGCTTGTTAAACTTCTAAGTTGTTTAACTAAGTCTTCATCTGATTCAATTCCAGATAGTGTTTGTAGCTTCACAAAGTCTTTTCCCCCACTAGCCATCTTCACAAATCCATTTTCTCTGTCACGGAAAC